TAAATAAATAAATAAATAAATAAATAAATAAATAAATAAATAAATAAATAAATAATAAATAAATAAATAAATAAATAAATAAATCTCTAAAGAAGTTGGCCATAGTTGGACCCATGTTGGCGATAGGCAAAAGTTTGGAGCAACAAAATCCAGGAAACCAGAAAGCAACACTTGAAAATTGGTAAAAATAAATAAATTGTAACGCCTTAATTGCCCTCTCTGTATTTTTCCAGCCAACCTCATGTTCCACAAGCCCCTTATGGAGGCACATGATGTTTTTTGAAGTGGCTGATGTGCCTCCCAGTTTTTTCAAAACCTTAAGGACTAAAAACTTGAGGGGGTTGAAGTGCCTCAAAACAAGCAAAACTCAGAAGGGGAGACTCGCTCCAACGAAATCAAGTGGCCGGCTCTCATTTTACCACCTGCCGAGCAATTGTTTAGAACGAGTAATATCGACGTGTTTGTTAGCAACGAGAGGCTACAATTAATCTGACAGAGTTGACTTTACAACAGGGGAAGTCTTATCTTTCTGGCCCAACGCCAGTTGTCAAGAAATGCGGTTGTGTATGACAAGCAGCAGAAGTCGAATGAAAAAAGATCCGAGGCCGATAACAGCGGGCGTAGCTAAACCACTTCACATGAACTGGCTTACGTATTTCCATACCCGGCTTTCTAACCATGAGGACTAGAAGCCTGGCTGATTTACAGCACTCTCGACAAACGGAAATGCACCATGAAGTTAGGTGGCATTGATGCTTTCCTGAATTTTGCAATTGCCGTTTTCAAAAAGGAAAGTGAATATATTTGCAAAACGCACCCAGAGACACAGGTGGTGGTCAAAATATGGTTTTAGAAAGGTGCCAAATTTGGTTTTGCCGATGGACTTGGGGACCCCAGGGTGAAGAGGAGTGGTTGGTCTGATCATTGTCACCAGCAAGATAGGGGTTTATTGGGGTTTTTTTATTGGGTTTTTATTTCTGTAAACTGCCCGGAGTCACCATAAGGTGGATGGCTGTATAATTTTTCTTAATATTCTTGATATTTTTCTTAATATTAATTTTCATCCTGCCCTTGGATGATGCTATAGGGCGGTGATGGCTAAACTCCAACTCTGGAAGTTTTTAAAAAGATGTCGGAGAACCATTTGCCTGAAATGGTGTAGGGTTTCCTGCCTAAGTAGGGGGTTGGACTAGAAGACCTCCAAGGTCCCTTCCAACTCTGTTATTTTATTCTAATAAAGTATTCTATTCTGTTAATAAATATAAAAATTGAGGTGGACACAAAGCATCCAGGAATTTGGACACACAGAGATTTCAAGGCTCCCTAGAAACACAGAGCAATTAGGATACGAATTCCAAAACTTGGTTTCACGTCAACATCTCCGCTCTAGGCCTCCCTGGCATTGTGTTGTTGTTCCGTTGTGCTCTCTGACCTCTCTGCGAAAACAATGGGATCCAGTTTCCCCTTGGCGGCATTTCAGCCCTGCGTGATAAAATATTTAGAAACGGACATCAACCTGCATCTCTCGGAGTTCTTCAAAGACTGAACGGTGCTCGGCCTGAAAAGCAAGGACGATGCTTGCCTTCATCTTCCTTTTCTCTGTTTTTACAGCTTGCCCGGCTGGCAATTCTCCACTGCAGAAAGAAGGATGCAAAAATGGGTTTAATTGCAGGAGAAGACAGCAGAATTCATCTGCCTGCCCTGAAGGTACAAGGAACAATCCCAGAAGGATTCCAGATGTTGAGACTCTAGAAAGAGTGCAGAGAAGATCAACAAAGATGATGAAGGGAGGCTAAAACATATGAAGAACATATTGCAGGGAATTAGGTAGGGCTAGTTAAATGAAAAGAAGGACCAGGGGAGACATGACAGCAGTCTTCCGATATCTCAGATGATGCCACCAAGAAGAGGGAGTCAACCTATTCTCCAAGGCACCCGAGTGTAGAACAAGAGGCAATGGGTGGAAACTAATCAAGGAGAGAAGCAACTTAGAACCAAGGAGAAATTTCCTGACAGTTACAACAATTAATCAGTGGAACAGAAGTTGCCTCCAGAAGTTGTGAATGCTCCAACATGGGAAGTCTTTAAGAAGACGTTGGATAACCATTTGTCTGAAGTGGTGTAGGGTTTCCTGGCTAGGCAGGGGGTTGGACTAGAAGACCTCAAAGGTCCCTTCCAATTTGGTTACTCAGAACAAATGGAAACCCCACTTTAGGGGGGTTTCCAGTCTGCAGTTGTTTCCTGCTAATTGTTGGCTAATTATTGCTTTAAATTAACATTTCTCAACTTTGGCGACTTTG